CTTCAAGAGGATACTAAACCAGATCTCCCTCTTCCAATCTTCCAAGCCAGCACGCCATCAAATCCCGCGTCTAATCCACAAGACCAACCGCGAAATCGCTGCACTGGCTGCGGAAATACCCACTGGAGGAAGGACTGCTCTCACAAGAAAACAAGATGCGCCAATTGCGACAGGATCGGCCATATTTCCGAGGTTTGCCGGGCAAAAGTTCTCAAGGATACAGCAGGACGCTCACGAGTAACTGCACATTCAACGCAAAAGGGAGCCCGCCTTGAAGCGCAATTTGACAACACAACTCCTCAACAGATCTAGAGTGTGGCTGATGTCATAAACAAACTGTTGACAACAGCAGAAGATGAGAAGTTCAGGGCCCGAGAGCGATATATCAGCAAGAAGCGTCAAGCGGGTCCCTCTTATGACACTCCAGCGCCAGTAATTCGAAAGGTGCTCAAGCTGACAGTGCCAGAGGAAGAGGAATATGATGATGAAAATGGAAACGAACCTCAACCAGTCCTCCTTGCCGAAGACAACCAACCAGATGACTCAGTCCGCATCCCTAAGCGACAAAAACTCATCGAGGTACCCATCATAACCAACTACCGCTTACAGCTGTTCTCGATTCAGGAGCAATGGTCAACGTGATGTCGCACATGACCGCGGCACGTGTTAACTTCAAACCAAGCCTTAAATCCACTAAGGTTATGGCCAAGGACGTGAACCAGACGGAAGCTATCCTCAGCGAAGACGTCATAGTCTATATCACTCCTGAACGTTCTAGTAGCACACGTTTTTGCTCTTCTGAATTCGGAAACACCAACAATCCTGTCCATACCAACTCTGAAAGCACTTGAGATCTGTATTGACTTTGCTTCCATGACCGTTCAAAGCGCTGACTGCACATTACAGTGCTACAATCTTGACAACGGAACTGCATGTCCCCCTCCAAGTACTCTCCAACAAACTGAGTACCATAATGTTTTTTATGGTACAGCAAGCGATAAATGCCACTACATCCAAATGGAGCTCAATGCTCACTCCATCTCAATCATCAGCAGCATCCGCCCTTCTCCAAGAGTACTCTGACGTTTGGTTCGAACCTAAAGCAGGACAAGCAACAACAGTCACCATGGAGATAAGGGTGCGAGGAAAGCCCAGACGTGTAGCAGCTAGACCAACTCCCGTACATCTCAGAAACGAATTGAATCGACAGATTGATGACCTGTTGAAAGCCGGAGTCATCTGTTCAGCTCCTGATTGCAAATGGGTTAGCGCCTGCCATCTCGTCGCTAAGCCAAGATCGACAAAGTGGAGATTATTTATCGACTATCGATATGTCAACACATTGATAGAAGACGACCGATATCAAATACCCAATGCACAGGATTTACTGATCAGACTCACCGGTGCCAAGGTTTTCACTCTGGTTGATTTAAACTGGGGTTTCTGGAATGTAGCGTTGGATAAGTCGAGTATTCAGTAACCGGGCTTTGTCGTGCCCGAAAGGGACGTTTTCGAATGGACAGTCATGCCGTTTGGCCTCCGGACGAGCCCCACCATCTTTCAAAGAGCAATAGCCCCTACTCGATGAAGGAAACCGGTCTACATAGATGATATTATCATTTATACACGCACCGTTGACGAGCACCTCATTCTACTACGCAGGGTTCTGCAATGCCTAAGGGAAGCTCGGTTCTTCATCAACTACGAGAAGTCTTTGTTCTTTCGCGAAGAAGGGCTTTATCTCGGCCACGTCATTTCAGCTGACAGTCTAAAGCCTGACCCTGCGAAGCTGCAAGGGCTGGTCAAAGCTCTTCCACCCACGGATAAACGAGCTCTTCTCAGTTTCTGCGCTGCAGCCAACTATCTGCGATCATACATCTCTCGGTTCTCCGAAATCATGGAATTAAATGCAGCTCTCAACAAACTCCAAAAAAGCCCACCCAGAAAAAGAAACAAAAACCTCAAAGCGACGGGCTACGGGAGTACAAAGTTGAATATCTGCCTTGATGACGTGCGCTGGAGGTGTGGCCAACTCATTTCCCGGAAATCTAACTTTCAGTCGGACGACAACCAGCTACAGGGATCTCTTGATTGTTCAACGTTGTGCAGGATGTGCCATTTTTTTATTTTTTGAACGACTCGGCAGACTCTTCAATCTGAAAACCTTTTGAGTGTCTTTCTGCAGGGATTGTTCATTGCAATCGAGGCCAGAGCAGACCTGCAAATGGTGTTTATGGAAACTTGTTTGTTTGGACTCACTGTAACTCCATGAGGCCGTCTGTGAACTTTCCTGACACAGCGTGAATGTATGGCCAGCAAAACGTCCTATCCAAACATCTCAACTCGACGAGAGTCTGATGCATCGTGGCATGCAACTCGTTTGCCTAGCAGATCATCAAAAGTGGTCTGGACGAGCAGATGGGATTCTTACATCCAGTTTGTCAACTTTTGTTAGAACCACCATGAACTCGCGCTCCTTTTGAGTCAGCAGTTCAAATAGACGATAATCTGGTCTGGTAAGGCCCTTCATTGAGTCAATCAAACAAAGCACCCGACATAAACTGAAAAGCAGTTGAACATTGAAAAATAAGTGTCCAGTAGAGGCGACTAACGTGCCTGGTAGATGTGGACAAATATCCTTCAATCAAATTTGCCCAACCCTCTTTGGTAGTCTGTGAAACCGAATATGCTATTCGAACGACATCCAGCGATCGCACCTTTGAGACTTCAGCGTATCCATAACCCGGAAGATCGACAAGCGACAGATACGTTCCCAAATCAAAAGTGAACAAATGGCGTGTAACACCCTGGCATGGAACCGCGGCACATTCAGACTACCGTGGAGCAGCAAAAACGTCGATCAAATGCACGTACCGGAGTTGGCGACACTGGAGCACTTGTTTGATTGGGACGTGGATTGTTGTAATTTCCCTGAGAAAAAACGTCGATGGAACATTTGAAGAATCACTCACCTGATTGGGTGAGAGTCGGGCTGCTGCTTTTCCATACATCAATGCATTCACCAAAGTGGATTTTCCAACATTCGATTTCCCGATGACTGCAACCTGCAGTGAACTAATCCTCTGGTCCATCGAAACGCAACACACACACTTGCGGACATTTCGGATTCGGGAGTTGATCGACTGTTCGATCTGAAACAGTTGGATAACCGGTTATGGATTTTGAGAAGATGCGTTTTGCGAACTGTTGTGTCTCTTCAGTGTTCCAGTCAGCTTCAACTTGTGATGGGGTCCAAATGTTGACAAATGGTCGCGCGAGAGACCGTTCAGTGTGCATTGCGTGCTGTTGGATATTGTAGAGTCGGCTCCAACAGCCATTAAATTGTCCGAGAAAACGATACATCACGGACTGAGTTCCGTACTGGTTGCATACAGTCACAGTCCTATCTCGTCTTATTCATCTTTGTGTCGTTTGATAATCGGCCACGGGGCTAGAACAGAGACTGTCCCATCACATCATTCAAGGAGCCTGTTGATTTTCACACATCGTCAGTTCGTCGACGAATCAGAACATTGCTTTGCGTGCAACATCTCTCGACACGACATCACATCGCGAGAGACAACCCACGTCGCCGAATTAGAAGGAGATTCGTGAAACGAAGGCCTATCGAGACATCGACACATAAAGTGTTCTGTTTCAAAGCAGTAGTGGCAGACGCAGTAGCCGCCGACAAGACACCAACCCCTACTTCGCGCCGTCATTGTTGCGATGCTGTGAACGGCGATCCACAGTCCCACACAATCTAAACAGTCTAATGAACAACATCATCCTCATCCATCTGCCTGATTCCAAAAACTGTCTGACTTCTCCTTTCTGTGTATTTGTCGACTACCCTAGTCCTCCATAGCCAGTGCGTTGATGACGAAGAGTGATTAAAAGATCGATTCAATCCATCGCTCTTACGTCTGAGCGTTGATACAATTCTCGCGCGCTAGATGTTTTGATAATTTAATTTGAACTAATTTCGATTCGATTAGATCCTGAATGAGGGAAGTACAGAAACAGTAATCGACAATAGAGTATCAGCAGTGGATGAGGGTTATGCAATGGATTGGGACTGTTTACCCAAAAATCAAGCTCCGCTACTTCTGCAGGACTTGTTGCCAAAATGAGTTCCTAAGGAAATCCACAAAAATGAAAAATTAACACAAAAATGACAATTAACTAAAAGAGATTGATACCTTCGCGACTGTCACACAGAGACGAGATGCACCAACCACTTCCCTGAACAAAGAGTCGAATCAGTGAGGACAACAGATAAAGATACCTCCATCGAACATGAGAGGAGGGGATCATCAATCCATATCTGAAAGATAAAAGATAAATAGAAGTCTTGAGGATGATCGTGAAGAGGGACAGGTATTTCGCGACTTTCTCTTAAATACCTTGCATGGACTTCTACGGGAGATTTTTCATAAATCAGAAAATCGACCCCAAATGTCAATCCACTGCGTACAACCCAACCTTGCTCTTTCCACCAGAGATAAACAGCGAGTCGAATTTTTCCTTTAGAAGGATCAGAAGATGTCGCTAAGAGACGCTCAAACATGCTTCGAATAACATCATCATTGTCATTATTTCTCCTTCTCCGCTTCGATGAAGATTCGCCTCTGTCATTGAACTGATTGCGCGATTCTTTTATAGAAACATCAAAAGCAGGGAATCGTTGATTCAAAGCAGCGAAAAGAGCTTCTTCAAGGGACAAAATTCTCCACTTGTGATCCTCCGTCTTGGAACCAAGATACTGATTTTCACAGAACTCGTTCACTCCGGCCCAATCGTTTGGATTTCCAACAAAACTTTCCAGAAATGACTCCGGCCTTGGGACTCGCGACAATAAGAGGTTTTGATTAGTCTCAGATTTCAGGTGGGATTCCGAGTGAACGATCGGAATATGAAAGTTCAATCCCACAAACATTCAGCTGGAATATCAGGAACAGATTCAGAAACCAAATAGAAGAGCGATTTCTTTAATAAATTGCATCAGCCGGGAATCGAACCCGGACCACCTGCTTGGAAGGCAGGTATCCTACCGTTGGACTACTGATGCTGCTAATATCTAAAAGAACAGACAACACAAAAACCTCAAGCCAAAGTGCATTTCAGAAACTTTGGTTCCTTTGCTAATTATTTTCATGCTCTTCAGAAATTTCAGCTAATTATTATTTTCATGCTCTCGGCGTCCACCTTCTAAAGGTTCAACAGTTTTTGGGCATTGTGGTGAAAAAGGCACAACTAATCCTCCTCTTCCTCCTTCTCTCCTGCTCTCATCTTTCTGCGCTTGACGCGTCCAAAACGTCCACCGCCGAATGGCGACGTCGAGGCGAAGTCGATGTGCTTCTCGGAATTCACTCGGACCATAAACGACGGAACGTTAACAATTTGCTTTCCGACGCGAATATGGCGCTGGAGAATCAAGCAACGGGCGTGATGAATCGATCGAGCATGGCCGAGCTTGAAGACCTTCGTTTGAAGACGACGTTCCATGAACTTGGAGAGAGTGAGTCCCAAAACGTAATCCAACTTCTGTTCCTTCTCCTCGAGAAGTCCCAATCGGATCATACGACGTAAAAGTGCGGCGCCTTGGAAAACACGCTTGGGATCATTTGGCTCGAGCGTGAGAAGATGGCGAGCTGCAGCGCGAATCTTGGCCAAAGCGTATTGAACTCTGGAGAAGAGAAGATGGGATTATGGAGAGACTTTGATTTTGACATCATTACACAAGAGAAAAAGGGAGAAGAACGATCATACCTCCAGACTTCCCGCTTGTTTTTTAAGCCATATTCACCAATAAGCTTCAGCTCCTGGTCAAGGCGCTCCTAAGAAAAATTTCATAAGACTTCAAGGCGACTCAATATGGATCAGAGGAAGGACCTCGTGGAGGACCATTACCTTCTCGAAGGGTCTCTTCGGCGAGCGCGAAGTCTTGCTATAGTTGCGGTAGTCTTTGCCCATCGTGTTGCGACCTCAAACGTGCTGCTCCTTTTCGACGACACCAGGTTTGTCAGTAACAGTGCAAATTCCCAGGTGGGACGAGGACCAGTAGAATTTGCAGTAGGTAGGAGACAGAACAAGAAGCATCTGCAACGAAAAAATCAAATCGTGGTGTGATTTTAGTTTATTGATGATAGAGGAAAGGAGGTCATAATGACGAAAATATTGTTAATGGGATCTGAAGCGGGATCTGAAGCATTTTTCAGCTTGAACTTGTCGTTCAACACAATCCCCTTAATTTCACGCACTTCTTGCACCGACAATTTCGAAAAAATGGTAACATTTCATTTCCATTTCAAGTTGTCAGCAATTGCACCGCGTTAAAATTTACAAAAATGTTCCCATGAAAAGACGCAGAACCACAGCCGTAAATATGCATGCTCCGTCAACGACCTTCGGGTCGTTTTTCTAGACCAACACCTTGTGTCCATTTTCTAGACCAACACCTTGTGTCCATTTTCTAGACCAACACGAGGAATGAGAACATGACGGTAACATTTTCCCTTCGTTGCTTTTCATTATTCTTTTTGTGTATTGCTGTTGTCCATTCGCTTTCTATTGAGCACTGCGCTGAAAAGAACAGTCTATCTCTCGATGTGTAAGTTGTGTTGAGCATGGCCCTCCCTGGTGTATTGGAATGCCGCTAGCTGAGCGTCGTTCAGTTCAGTTTAACAGTACACTCGCGTCGCTTCTTTCAGCCTCAGTACCTAGTCTTCTCTCATTAAATCAGTAAGTCCAACAACACAAATTTGTCATTTTGCAGCCACGTTACGCATCACGCTCACGACCATCATCATCGAATTATTTCTTTCTACGTGGTTTTTTTGGCCACGTTCCACTGACCACTTTGACATTGAAGGCGAGGGAACACCACCCCCTTCAAATTCCTCGAACGAGCCTGGCTCTTCTACTGACGTCACGGCCAACGAAGTGACGCCAACTCCTACTTCGCGCCGTCTTCGTCGTCTCATGCTTTCCTACACGTCTTGCCACAAGCTTGACATTTCCCGTCGCACGCATCCACGCGTGCAGCGAAATCAAGCTGAAGAAGCCCGTTCCCACGATACTAGAGCGACCGCTGACCAATCTGTAGATGACTCTCTACAGTCAACAATCCCACACTACTCCCCTCGTTGTTTTTTTTTTGTTTATTTTCCTGATTGTTCTTTTCACAGAATGTTCGTACTCGATGACACAACCAGTATGATACCAGTAAGGGATGTGCTCAAGAGAAAGCTTCATCTTTTGCTTGAAGAATTCCAAACACGTTTTGGGTATTTGAGGGGTTCGAATGGGAATTCGCTAGATTGGCTAGCATCGTACAGGTTGTACTCGACTGTAGGCTCGGCTACAGTCGCGGGCGTGTGAGCGGGGGAAGAGGTTCCAGCGGCGGCGGACATGTCGGGGGTTAGGTGCAGATAAAATTGGGGACTGGTACGAGTTAAAAAACAAAGAGCATGCAGGCACGTAAAACCCAAAGGTAAAAAGACAAGCACACCAGACAGAGAGAGAGCAGACTACAGACACTTGACATAAACACTTCTCAGTATTCGACTTTTGATGATGAACCTACAGCCTGTTTGGGTGTTTCCAACCCTAGCTTCGGTGTGCGAACAGCAGCTCCGAGCTTGATGTGTAGGTCTCGCCCTTTTTTTCTGTTCTCCTCATTCGACGAATGTTGTTCGTTCTTGACGATACCGGAAGCATGCAAGCCAGCAAAGCCTTGCTCCAAACAACGATTCCTCTTTTGCTAAGCGAATTTCAGACGATATTTCCAGGAACGCGTTTCGGCCGATGACGAATACAATGGCTGTACGAGAGCTAAAAACCCCAACGCCGGCATCATTGTTTGTCTTCATCTTCAGCTTGTCTGCAAATTCAACTAAAGTGCTTCAAGCAATCAAATCGTATGACCCCTTCAGAGGGGACAAACATCTTCCTGAAGAGTAGGTTCCCTGCGGTTCGTCACTTTCCCTCCTGTCCCTCTTTCTACAGTGCAATGGGAGCCCTTTTGGTCACAAATGGAGAAATCTTCTAACCAAAAACTATTTTAAAGTCGAAGCAGTTGTTACAGATGCGGCTTATCGCTTTCCTGGGACCAACAAACGAGGATTTGTCCTGAGCCTGACTTCAGGCCAAACGATGGTCTAGGAATTGACTACGACCACAGACATATGGTGAGAAATCACTAGCACCTTCTGGGCTCCTAATCAACTTCCTTCAGGATTTTCCAACGACTCTTCAAGTCGCCACGGCACTAGAGGAAGAAGAAGTTCGCCCGCTTTTTTTTAACGCTTCCAGCGAAAGGTGTGAACCCTCTACATGTTTATGAAACGTTCCTTGAAACTCACCAACTTTCGACGGAGAGGGCGGTTGGATCACCAGATGCAACAGCCATGGTCAACGCAATTCGAGGCGCTATCCAGGAAGTTGCCTGTGCTACAACTGCTCCCCCACCCCCCACGCCAATTTCGTTTTGCTCGGAAAGAGAAGACAGTCCCGACACAGCCAACACAGAGCCGACATACACAGAGCCGACATACACAGAGCCGACATACACAGAGCCGACATACACAGAGCCGACATACACAGAGCCGACATACACAGAGCCGACATACACAGAGCCGACATACACAGAGCCGACATACACAGAGCCGACATACACAGAGCCGACATACACAGAGCCGACATACACAGAGCCGACATACACAGAGCCGACATACACAGAGCCGACATACACAGAGCCGACATACACAGAGCCGACATACACAGAGCCGACATACACAGAGCCGACATACACAGAGCCGACATACACAGAGCCGACATACACAGAGCCGACATACACAGAGCCGACATACACAGAGCCGACATACACAGAGCCGACATACACAGAGCCGACATACACAGAGCCGACATACACAGAGCCGACATACACAGAGCCGACATACACAGAGCCGACATACACAGAGCCGACATACACAGAGCCGACATACACAGAGCCGACATACACAGAGCCGACATACACAGAGGCGACATACACAGAGGCGACATACACAGAGGCGACATACACAGAGCCGACATACACAGAGGCGACATACACAGAGGCGACATACACAGAGGCGACATACACAGAGGCGACATACACAGAGGCGACATACACAGAGGCGACATACACAGAGGCGACATACACAGAGGCGACATACACAGAGGCGACATACACAGAGGCGACATACACAGAGGCGACATACACAGAGGCGACATACACAGAGGCGACATACACAGAGGCGACATACACAGAGGCGACATACACAGAGGCGACATACACAGAGGCGACATACACAGAGGCGACATACACAGAGGCGACATACACAGAGGCGACATACACAGAGGCGACATACACAGAGGCGACATACACAGAGGCGACATACACAGAGGCGACATACACAGAGGCGACATACACAGAGGCGACATACACAGAGGCGACATACACAGAGGCGACATACACAGAGGCGACATACACAGAGGCGACATACACAGAGGCGACATACACAGAGGCGACATACACAGAGGCGACATACACAGAGGCGACATACACAGAGCCGACATACACAGAGCCGACATACACAGAGCCGACATACACAGAGCCGACATACACAGAGCCGACATACACAGAGCCGACATACACAGAGCCGACATACACAGAGCCGACATACACAGAGCCGACATACACAGAGCCGACATACACAGAGCCGACATACACAGAGCCGACATACACAGAGCCGACATACACAGAGCCGACATACACAGAGCCGACATACACAGAGCCGACATACACAGAGCCGACATACACAGAGCCGACATACACAGAGCCGACATACACAGAGCCGACATACACAGAGCCGACATACACAGAGCCGACATACACAGAGCCGACATACACAGAGCCGACATACACAGAGCCGACATACACAGAGCCGACATACACAGAGCCGACATACACAGAGCCGACATACACAGAGCCGACATACACAGAGCCGACATACACAGAGCCGACATACACAGAGCCGACATACACAGAGCCGACATACACAGAGCCGACATACACAGAGCCGACATACACAGAGCCGACATACACAGAGCCGACATACACAGAGCCGACATACACAGAGCCGACATACACAGAGCCGACATACACAGAGCCGACATACACAGAGCCGACATACACAGAGCCGACATACACAGAGCCGACATACACAGAGCCGACATACACAGAGCCGACATACACAGAGCCGACATACACAGAGCCGACATACACAGAGCCGACATACACAGAGCCGACATACACAGAGCCGACATACACAGAGCCGACATACACAGAGCCGACATACACAGAGCCGACATACACAGAGCCGACATACACAGAGCCGACATACACAGAGCCGACATACACAGAGCCGACATACACAGAGCCGACATACACAGAGCCGACATACACAGAGCCGACATACACAGAGCCGACATACACAGAGCCGACATACACAGAGCCGACATACACAGAGCCGACATACACAGAGCCGACATACACAGAGCCGACATACACAGAGCCGACATACACAGAGCCGACATACACAGAGCCGACATACACAGAGCCGACATACACAGAGCCGACATACACAGAGCCGACATACACAGAGCCGACATACACAGAGCCGACATACACAGAGCCGACATACACAGAGCCGACATACACAGAGCCGACATACACAGAGCCGACATACACAGAGCCGACATACACAGAGCCGACATACACAGAGCCGACATACACAGAGCCGACATACACAGAGCCGACATACACAGAGCCGACATACACAGAGCCGACATACACAGAGCCGACATACACAGAGCCGACATACACAGAGCCGACATACACAGAGCCGACATACACAGAGCCGACATACACAGAGCCGACATACACAGAGCCGACATACACAGAGCCGACATACACAGAGCCGACATACACAGAGCCGACATACACAGAGCCGACATACACAGAGCCGACATACACAGAGCCGACATACACAGAGCCGACATACACAGAGCCGACATACACAGAGCCGACATACACAGAGCCGACATACACAGAGCCGACATACACAGAGCCGACATACACAGAGCCGACATACACAGAGCCGACATACACAGAGCCGACATACACAGAGCCGACATACACAGAGCCGACATACACAGAGCCGACATACACAGAGCCGACATACACAGAGCCGACATACACAGAGCCGACATACACAGAGCCGACATACACAGAGCCGACATACACAGAGCCGACATACACAGAGCCGACATACACAGAGCCGACATACACAGAGCCGACATACACAGAGCCGACATACACAGAGCCGACATACACAGAGCCGACATACACAGAGCCGACACAGAGCCGACACAGAGCCGACAGAGCGACAGAGCCGACAGAGCCAACAGAGCCGACAATCCCAACAGAGCGGACAGAGCCAACAGAGCCGACAGTCCCAACAGAGCCGACAATTCCGACAGTCGCAAAGCCGACAGTCCAGACAGTCACGACGGTCCCACCACAACGAACAATACCGACGGTCTGGTCACAACCGACAACCCCGACGGTCCCGACACAACCGACAATTCCGACAAATCCGACAATGCCGACACATTCGTCAGTTTCGGCGAGTGAAACAAGGACGTTACGTCGCACTCAATAGTCCACAACCACAGCAACGTCGACAACAACTACGGCGACAACCACAAAATCCAGAACAAGAACAAAAGACAACAATCATGGATCCTGGTAAGAAGAGAGGCCAAAGTGCAATCTAAAGTTCTTTTTTAGTAGGGGGAACAATTTGCTGCTGGTACCAGTTGCCGTAGCAGCGAGTGGCTTGCTCGCTATCCTTGTTATAGCGGCCCATTCAGAGAAGAAGAAAAAGAAAGAAACCCAAACTCTTGCGAGTTAGACGGAATTTTCGAGGGAGAGGCTTCCCGGAGAAAGAGAAAGGGAGGCATCCCTTCGAGAAGGAGAATTTTTGTGATACTTTTAAGTGGTAGCTACTGTTTCTAAAAGTTCCTCGATGCGAAGCTTTGAATGTATGTGGGAATGTTTTTTGGAGAGTTGACAAATAAAGAACAAGAACGAATAAACTGAACTGCAAATCTCACTCGGTGTGTTTTTTCTCATGTGCTCGTGCTTTCACCCGCCAAAACAGCTTGCAGCTGATCGATTAAATCATCCGTTGCATCGGCATCGGTGCCATCTCCTAACTTTAATAACGGATCGTCAACTACCGAAGAGTGGAGCTCAGAAGAGACCGCAGCTTGGAGAAGACTGAAAAGCGTCCGCCAAAACCCCATTTCATCTAATTTTTGAGGAACGAGATTAAAACGAATTGCATCAAGGTGCGGAAACGATTTGAGGAGATGCGACGCAAGCTTCAGCTCGTCCGGATTGAGTAACTGGCGATCCTTTTCGAGAAAAGGAAGGTGGAGATTTTCCAAGGATGTTTGGAGCTCTGGGCGAGTTAATGTGGCATGCAGAGAATCTGTCACACGCTTGCACATAGCAGGAGGAAGTTGTAATGCATTGACATCAAGCGTCCCGAAATCCAATTTAAGACAGAGAGAAAGGAGAGTGTCGGAATTTGAGGGACTGGATGATGTTGGAGGGGTGAACCATTTTTGTGTTATAGAAGTAACGAATTCGGGGGTATGAAAGTCCCTTAAGGACATCAGAGAAGTTGGGCCTGAAATCGAACACCATGTCATAAGAAGACAGTTTGCAGCATCGCACCTGATCGATGATGTGCGGATGAAGAAGCTGCGGGACTGAAAGACTCTGTCCCATTGATCAGACCAAAGCTGATAGATCTCTTACACTAACTTGCTTTCATGGAGCTCTCACCTTCCGCCGCCTCAACGGCTTCCTTCAATACAAGCGTGAATCAGGATGCGCCACAGATCAAACAGGAGAAGCGCATTATTTTTGTCGGAGCTCCCGGGTGCGGGAAGGGAACGCAAAGCAGTCTTTTGAAGGACCGATTTAAGCTTGGCCACCTCTCAACTGGCGATATGCTTAGAGAGGCTGTAGCGGCTAAGACTGAACTCGGCAAACAGGTAGGCAAACAGTTACAAACGAAGCATACTGTTTTTTCCAAGGCCAAGATGAAAATGGATAACGGCGAGTTGGTCAGCGACGACATTGTTCTTGGTTTAATCGAAGACAAGATAACAGGACCAGACTGCAAGTATGGTTTCATTCTGGACGGGTTTCCACGAAACACAACTCAAGCTGAAGGCGTAAGTGTTTGATTTCAACTTTCTCCAATTAATTTTCTCTTTTTGTTTGTAGCTTGACCAAATGGCAAAAAAAAGCCGGACAGTCGATTGACGCCGTCATCTACTTCGACATTTCGGATGAGCTTCTTATCGGACGCATTTGTGGCCGCCGTGTCCATCTTCCCTCTGGTCGAGTTTACCACGTGCAATTCAATCCACCAAAGCGGGAAGGACTCGATGATGTAACAGGAGAGGAATTAACCCACCGGAAGGATGATAACGAAGAGACCCTCAAGAAGCGTCTTGATGTCTTCCATCGTGAGACAATGCCCCCTCATCGAATACTATAAACAGTAAGCTGTTGCATTATTCACTTCTTGTTGTGCGTATTTGTAATTGTTGTTGTGTTGTAATTGTTGTTTTCAGGATGGGTTTGCTCCACACAATTGACGCGAGTGCTCCAGTCAGCAAGATTACAGAGAAACTGTTGTCTATCGTTGAAGACATTTCTATAGGTCATTGAACAACTCATGCTCTTCCAAGTTTGTTATGATCTTCCAAGTTTGTTATGATCTTCCAAATTTTTACAAACAGTGGAAGACCCTTTTTTGTTGTTTTTTTCTAACACGCTCTTCATTCTTGCTTTAGGCCACTCCAGTAGTTCGTCGAGTTCCTCGTCACTCCACCGTTTTACTGAGAGAATAGCAAAACTTTGAACATTTCAACAGAAACGTTTTTGAACCCGAACTTGTGTTTACGCTAAAACCTACAAATACAACGTTGAGAAGGCTTCTCTTCTTGGATTTTGGGACACTCTGGATTTGCGCGATTTTCGAATGCTACGGACCCGATTTCACCGTCTCTCCTTCGTTCGGCGTGGGTTCATTCCATTCAATTGACTGCGGGACATTTTTGTGATTTCAGACAAAATCAAGCCTCCAATGAAGCGCGCAAAGATCCCATTTGTCGATTTTCAAACGGCGTATCCCAAAGCGATGCCGTCCAGTCTTTCTGCAGCTAATCCCTATACAATGGTATGATAGAATCAAATAAGAAGGAGATCAAACTATTAAGGAGATAAGAGATCAAGAAATTGGATCGAGTTCCTTGTTTAGGAGGATTTGTCTCGAGATATGAAATCCGCCAAGCGAGTTCAACTCTACAATGTTAGTTGATCGGTTCGTGCTAATATTATAAATGTTCTCTGATTCGTTTGTTCTGATCTGTATTCATGCTTTGTTCTACAGGGTCGCTGCGTGGCCGCTCTCTCCTACAAAAAAATAAAAAATGGGGGCCGCAACAATACGGGAAGAATTACGAGGCGATGGAGGGGCGGTGGCATGCGTCAACGAATGAGAATCATCGACTTCAAGCGACAGAGAAAAAGATATCTGGGCGACCGTTCTAAGGTACACAGATTGTCATCGAATCTCCGTTGTTCTCACTTTTTATTAACTCATTCAGAATTGAATATGATCCAAATCGAACTGCATATATTGCTCTTATTCAATATGATGATGGAGTGCTTTCTTATATCATCGCAACCCATACAGTTGTGGCGGGAAAGCGAATCATTTCAAGTGTGTCGGCACCCATCTCACCAGGAAACTGCCTTCCATTGCGGAGCATCCCCGTAAGGTGTTTCTGAAGACGTCTCGTGACTTTTCGAGTTGATCAGATCAACACTGTTATTCACTCGCTAGAATTCAATCCAGGAGCAGGAGCGGCAGCAATGCTCGCAAGTGGCGTCCATGGAAAAGTAATTTCGTAGGTTGTTGATTTTTGCCAGTGACTTGTCTTGCTGCTGTAGCTCTGATCATGAATTTGCAACTGTTGAACTTCCATCAGGAGAAATTAGAAAATTTCCCCTCGGTAACGATTTTATGAAAAAGCATAACGAGATGTTGATGCGATTTCAGAGTGTTGGGCTACAGTAGGGAAGGTTGTTCAAGGAAAGAAGAAACTCTCCTTCAACAAGGCAGGTGAAAAACGATGGAGAGGCTTGCGACCCAGAGTGAAAGGGACATCCATGCACAAACACAAACACCCTCATGGAGGTAATTGAATGGTTTTAGTGAAAGTAAAAGAAAAAGTGCTCGATAAAAGTTGATTTTCGCTAGGTGAGGACAATACAGGAACCAAGGGAAAAACCCCCCAAAACAAAATGGGGTAAACCAGCGTACAACTTCAAGACTCGATCGCCATACATGCCACTTGGTCTTATCGTTGAACGCCGACTAACAAAAGCATTGGACAATAAATCAGCATTCAAAGAGTTCCCAAAAAAGAAAACGAAGGTGAAGTAGTATTTTTTCCAAACTGCCAAAATACAATTTTCTTGAATATTTTCTTGAATAATGATCATCTTGCGAAAAATCGATTCCTTGAGTCCCAAATTGATGAAATCTCTCATGGATCTACCAAGTCTTCTAAATCTTCTAACTCTCGTAAATTTTCATTGTTGTCTGAACTCTCAAAGTTTTCGATATTCTCCAAATCATCCAGATCATCCAAATCATCTAAAATCTGTCTTCCATTCAAATCTCCGATCGGTGGAAGATTACCTTGGCTGAGGGAAACAGACGCCTCTATTGCGCTGCCATCTGAAGCCATCTGTCTTCGCACAAAAAACTCACGCAAGACTTTCGATATCTCACGATAAACCACAACAGACAGAAACGGCTTCATCCATCCACAGAATAACTCAGAAAGTTTGAAAGGCTGGGAGGCGCTCAATGGCTGGGAACTTTGTTGCTGCCCTTTGTAGGGAAGTTTGCCAAGCGGCCACTCGGGATTGCACATCTACGCTTGGGACGGGCCGCGACCATCGGGGATTCATCTTAACATGACGCGAATCAAAAAGGATGACAACTCCATAATCATTTTTGTGTCGGATGACTCGCCCGAGTGCTTGGTTGATTGCCCGGTATGCTTGCAACTCATACCTGATGGAGG